GTGGAGTGCTCGCTGCTGACGGGTCGATCGAGGCGTACAACTATGCGGGGCTGCGTATGAAGGGAGGGTGCCTTGGTACTTTCGCGCGGAAAGATGCGCTTGCGCGGCATCTAGACAAATCGACGCAGGGGTGTATTGGTGACTTGGACCTGGCGGATCTACTCAGTAGGATGTGAGCCTTATTTCGCTTGTCGTGTGGGGCGCGAGGCATCTTCCCGCTTCACGCAGGGTGGTGACAATTTTCTTATGTATAACTTATTCCGTTCGTCTGCAACCAATGCACTGTAGTATTACCACAAGATCACAATGGGACTGTACTGTAAATATAATAATACTTGACTTTATAACTTTGAACTTTTAGTACGATACCCTGCAATTGAATTGCTGCCACCATGCTCGTCATGGGCCTATACGCGGTCTCGTGACCGATCCTAGGATTTTCGAAGTCCGCCACCTGCCATACTGGGACGGTCACCGCCTCTCTGAACCTCTCCAGCCTATACGACTCTCTATTCCCCAGCGTTATGCCTACGCAGAGTATAAAGGACTGCAAAATGGCTCGTATAACCCCCAAGATACGTTTCTCTCCCCCCTCCAACCCTCCCGCCTCACAAAATGTTCGATCCTCTCGCCCCCTTCCCGTCGCCCGGTATGGGCGCCTCGCTCGACCTCTTGGACTTCGATGGGCTATACTCCGGATCCTACCATCAGACGCCGTATCTGCGTGACTTGAACAGTTGCATTCCGGATTTAGGGTCGAATAGCGCTCCATACCGATTCACTGAAGAGGCTCATTACCTGGCACCCAACCCCCATCCTGAATCGCGCGAAAGAGCTTTCTTCCCTGGCACAGAGCCACTCTTCAAAAATGCATTGTGAGCTTCAATTCCACGCGTACATTTGTCTAGCGGATAGAGGTTTCTCAACGAAACTTATCGTTCAGACAGCTTGGGTTAGACGCTGCCAGTGGCACATGTACGAATGTATCCGCCGACTATGACACTGCGCCTGTCGACCAAGGCCCCGTCTTCCCATTCTCCCTCTTTGAAGACTTGGTTGGGCGTGCTCAGTCCTTGCGGCTGGACACGGAGACATCGGATGCCATCACTCGTGCCCCGCTCCTCTCTTCCAAAGAGCTGCCACCCGCACTTTCTTACCCCGGGGCCTCGGCTATCGACGCACACGCGATACTTGGTGATAGTGTCGATAACGCACTCGCTCCGACCGTCCGATCCCAACGCCGCTTCTCCCCGTACCCGTCACCGTCTTCATGGTCTCCCTCGCCACTTCAGTCGCCAGTGCCCCTAGCACCATGCCCGCCACGGAGGCCTGCGAAAGGCAGCGCGCGCGCACGAAATCGACAAGTATACCGCTCGGATGCCGACTTCGTCGATGCGCTCATTAAGGCGCTGGATACTCTGGTGTGCCCGGTGCCTGACTGCGGGTACACCCCGTCCGGCCGGCACAACGGGGATCTTGAGCGGCACCTTAGAACCCATCGAGCACGTCCGGACGAAGGCGAGTGGGCCTGCTGCGGCGTTTTGGTCCCCGAGAATTACATGAATAGCATGGATCCTAATGCCATGTATCTGCACAAAGGGCGCTTGATGATGGGCGGCTGTCAACGCGTCTTTAGTCGAAAAGATGCGCTGGGACGCCATCTGAAGGAGAGGAAGGGTAAGTGCCGCGGGGATTTGAAGTTGGCAGAGCAACTGAGCAAGTCTTGACGATACTGATTCGGTCTGACGTGTGTGTTTGCTATGATCTACAGTTTATCACCACTTTCTGTATATTGAAATGTTTTGGACTGTAATATTGCTATTATGTGTGCTTTCGTTTTCGTTTTTTTTACTCCTCATAGTTTGTGCTACTATTAAGTTACTCTTGTGCATGATAGTCGCGACAGTGTGCCGCGCATCCGACTAGATCCGATCATCCGAGTCATCCGATTGCCAGAGCCGGACGCGTATTATGTAATCTGCCCTCCAAAACATACTCCGACGTTTTGGTCAAACCCTCCTTATGGTACGTCTGCCCATCCTCCCATGCACTACTTCCTCTCACTGTTGGCCCTCAGATATCCATCATTCCGCCCAAGGGTCGGACTGACAACATCACCCACATGGATCTCAGTTACAGCTGGCAATGCGGTGACGGCGGCCTCAAGATCGAACCCCCGACTTGTACGGTCTACGCGACGCACCCCCCTTGATTGTACGTATGCCCGAGTCCGGCGATACTTTTTTTATTTTTATTTTTGCATCCACGAGCGTTTGCGGAGATAAACTCTACGTTTGGAACGGCATAGATGACGTCGTCTGCAGTATTCAAGCGCCAATTAAATTGAAAGATATTTATGCTGCGATCTCGAAGCCCAGAAAGGGAGGACCATGTGATCAAGCTTGTGTAGGGAGCAATGCGCCGGGCGTGTGATGCGTCTAGACTTACTCGAGAATTTGAGAGTTTGCAAGGCGGGTTGCATTCTTTTGTGACCACCAGTGGGTTAGGAGCGTTGGTACAGAAATATGGCTGATCAATGTCTCCGAGAGCATGCGCTTGCCGTCGTTGATATATACTAGACACAGTTGTCAGGCCACCATGTCCGCAATTACTTTCAGATGTTGGCATGGAGGCTACTACAAGTGAGATTCCAAACAATAAATGTCGCCGGTGACATTATCAACTAACATGATTCATACATCCATGTTAATATACAATGGCGCCATGTCGTTATTGGGGTTCTAGTGATTCTGGAGGATATGCCCCGTGCCTTCGGCGAGATGACGTGCATACCACACATACTTGATTGACACTCCTTTCTGATCGCTGAAGGTGGTTTCTTTGGACTCTCCAGCTCTTAATAGTCTCAGGTCTCAATCTCAACCCCTCTTCTTGGACCTCGTGAACGGCTGGATGGAGAGTGTGACTTGAGGCGGATTCAAGGGCATGGCCAACCCAGTGCGTAAGCACATGCTTCTTGTGTAATCAGTGTAGTGTTAAAAATGACACAACCCTGCAGAACAGATACGTCGGAGCAGATCCTAGCAGAGGCGTGTCATTTCCTCCACTGGACTGGGAGAGTGACGAGATGTCAACTTATCCGATAGGGCGAAAAAAAACCTGCAAATACTGTGAAGGACAAGTAGAACATGAGGATGGATGAAGATGTGCCTCGATGTTGCGAAAAGGCGGTACATGCTCCTGCTAGACGACTTGTACAATCACACACCGGCCGCGACGTCCCGCAAGACCAGTTCAAATGTGCGTTCAACCCCATGCCTATGGGGTTTGAATTTCTAGCTGTCCTCGTCTCCTTCCGTCCCACGCTAATCGCTACAGACCTGGACGCGGCGCTCAGTCATGGAGGTCACCGACTCGCCCGCAAGTTGCGCTACCAATGCCGCAAATTTTTTTGTGAGCCAAGTTGCAACGCATTCACAGCTGTTCAAAGGTGTGCAGGCCTTTATGAACAAGACTTTGCAAACCGGGCCAGACGGTGTCCGACCCGCTGAGGGCCATCGCAGACGCTCTCACGGAGGTGCGTGCGCGCGCTGAGCGCTGAGTACTTACTGAGTACGGGTGCGGGTGCTCGCAGTGGGATTTGAGGCTGTATATTGTTGAGAATCTCATCTGGTCTAGCAACACAGGGCAGTACAAACCCATCATCGTTGCTCAAAGCATTTGGCCCACCAACCGGGGCTCTACAACATATTCTAGAAGCCGTAGAAATCACTCATACGGACGATGTAGTTTGGAACCGTATATATCGCTTACAAGGCAGATTACTTCTTTAGAATCGTGCCAGAACGGCTTTCCAGCGCACTGTGTCGCTGTGTCGCAGTGGCGGAAATCCCCAAGTTTACAGAGGGAAGTTTCAACATTTTGTACCGGGTGTTCACATTAAAATCGCGTTGTCGTGAGTGCAAAGTCCAATGTCCAAGCATGGAGTTTTGTCGTTGGCACAATTCGTAAAGTAATAGTATCAACTGATCAACTGTCAGGTCCCACATTCCTCATGTTCATCATGTCCGCTCTATTGCTCGTCGTTCATACCTCGACGTCGATCGGAAGCGCGCTCACCATCCGCGCCAGCCTGGCCAAATTCGTGTCGGAGACTCATCTGCATCTCTTGAATCGCAGCTCTTTCAATCTTTCCGAAGAGTGGCGTGCCGACACGAATTTGGCTGGAGCACGACCAGGGGGCATTCCGATACACTGTAGAGACTCACAGATTACAGTAGGGGCAATCTTCCCTGCGCGCCACTACAGTACTGTTGTGGCTTAAATATCACCAATTCCGTGATGTGTGCATCGGTAGGCAGTCTCAATGGACTAAATTACGTCGAATTGTGACATACTTGATGCGCGCGGTAGACGTTGTGCGGAAGACAGACGAGAGAACGGTAGATTTGGTGGACCGGAACCAGCAAAAACAAGAGATCTCAACACCGGCCAGTGGTTGTCGAGGCGAGAGAGCAGCTCCAGGTAATGCGCAAGCTCTGCCTTAGAATGTGGCAGGACTCAACCCTACACTTATTGCGCTCCCTGATTCTTCCCAGGTTGGCATTGGGGAGAGACTGCATCGGTTCGATGAGTGCACAGAAAGAAGAGTATAACCTTGTTCATGTCATTGACAGTAAAGAAGCGATGCGTCGGGGTTGCGCCCGACCTAATTATACACAAGTGGGCTCAGAGGTTGAGCTCCGAGCCGTCCAACATGAAAATAATGAAATCGGATTCCTGCCAACAGAAGACTTTGACTCCTGCATCAATTGTCCGCGCAGCACACTGCGCTTAGAAGCTGCAGGGGAAAATACATGAAGATGGATATTTCAGTAAAGCATAATATCACTCACGGAAGTGCCAATATCTTGACATTCGTCACTTTGATAGGAGAAATCAGTTTCACTTGGACGGTTGCGTCGCAATATAAGTCATGCTTTCCACTGTCATTCTTGACAGCCCTAAACGTCACTGTGCCCTTTGCAACAACAACGTTGATTGTCGCCTGCACCGACGCCGTGTCTGTCAGAGCTCCCTTGACATTTGCCAACTTGACACGACCAGCAATGGGAACCTTGGCGAAGAGTTCAGCTGCGACGACTCGATCAACCGGTCCAATGCTGCCAACCAACTGGAGGGAGCGATCGTTAGACAAAGTGAATGCACCGTATTTCAGATAACGCACCTCGAGAATACCCGCAAAATGAAGGCTAAGTGAGTACTGTTTAGATGCGGCCGCTGCAAGTCCTGAGTCAGAGGAAGCTACACCGACTACTGGTCCACCCTCTCTGTAAGACTGGATGGCAATGGTGTAACCAGCATCTCCCATGTCGTGGGCATGGTCATCCAAGAATTTGACCAGGACTAGATGGCAATATTCAGTGGAAGTGTCTCTCATGTCAACTATTGTACGTACGCTCGTGTTCACCGCTGGTCACAGCGTCTGTTGGAAACGTATGAGCATCGCAGTACAAACCCACACGCGTGTTAAACTTACCAAAGTGAACCGCACTCTGTAAATCGTCGATATCTTCTATGGTCGATCGAGGCTTCGTGGCGATTTCGTAAGGGAATTGTTGCAGCTGATCCTGCCGAGCACTGACACTGAGAAAATTATCAGAATACACTGCATCCGCTGCATTGTAAACGGCCGTGTCACTCACGAGGACGGAAACAAGCTGACATGATCTACCATTTGTCCGGTGAACGGAGTTGTCAGGTCGTACGCCATCACAACCTCAATCTGATTCTGCTGCTTCTCGAACTTCCATGAAAAGTTCCCATGAATTTTGGGAGCTTGGCTGTTCGGAATTGCAACGGTATACTTGCGCGGAGTGTCCCTCTCGAGTTGCACGCCGTAAGCTTCGCACACCAAAGTGCGCCCAAACCCGGGCACGACCAGATAAACGTTGCATTCATCCAGTGTACCGTAGCGCTTCTGGTAATGCATCACAACCTATCGGCAATGGAATGTTAATATGCATGAGATAATGTGAATATTCCGAAGAATGACTCGCCTCAAAGTACCCAATGCCGCTTGCCACGCGGATCGTCTCAACCTCACTTCCGGCCTCAGTAACGGATGCCAGATGCTGGGGCACGGTGGCGACCATGACAACCGAGGTATTGGGCGAGCCGCATGCACCAGCCCATTGGTGGGTTGTCATCCAGTCATTGAAGGCTATTTTACCCGTCGATGAGAGCGAGAGAATGAAATAAAATTATAACGCACTAGCACCCATGAAGGACGCATTGTAGTCAGATGCTATATGCCCATTAGCATTCCGCTATACAGATATACTTGACCGCTTACTCAGAGCCATTGTATTGAAGTGAATCGAAGAGGAAGTAGATGGAGAGACGAGAGAGACCTGCAGTATGGGTGAGGAAATTGTTCGCCTTTTAACTGCTGTCCATGAGCTGGGTTTCGTAAGCCAGGTTCTACCGCATCAAAGGTCACGTACCCGGTAATCCCCAATCCCGGTTGAATATATGGAGAGGGACGTGTCATTGCGCCTTCGTTCGTGACGAAAGTGTACTCTTCACATGAACACATACGACGAAGAAGGACTTGGCAGGAGACACGAAGACAGGTAAGTTCCCTCCTCACCATATGCCGTCCCCGGTGGAGTTCAACACCGACAGAAGCAGTTCCTTCTTCAAGCTTCTCCCACAACCTATTGTAAGGGGATTTGTTTTAGCATACAGACATCTGTAATAATTCCGCTGTGGATGGGATCATCCGGTAGTACTGACCTCCGGTGCACGAATACAATGGGAGATCCCTTGATATTTCGCATCAATAGGCTCTATTGGATCGGCTGTAATTATCCTGTTAAATACTTTCTGGGAATAATGTGAATGAACATATACCGTGTATGTTGAGGATGACCAGACGTTCGGACCAGTGAGCATAGTGCTTGATAGTTCAATTCAAGAGGCCACATAATTCCACTGGTGAGTCTCTGGTGGAACTCACGACATGGTTTCCTCTGTTATCGATTCTAACGGTTGGGTCTGCACGGCATTATCATGGTACAAGTCATCTATATTACACAGCTCTTTTAATTCATGTCGTCTCTCAAGCTACTGAGAATGTTGGTTAATGTACTGCACCATCTCGAGTCCATGAATTCATCTATGTCATCAAGAGAACCTCGTGCGATATGTTGCAATTTAGCAACCCATAGAATATTCTGTGGAGCATTATTATAATTCAGCAGCCGGCCATTTCTGATGCGAGAAAACTGACCGTCGGCGACGCCCAGCCTACCGAATAGAAGTACTTACATAGCAAGGGAAAGCCATGGTAGTATTTATTCAGCATTCGTGCCCGGCATGTTCCGTGATCTCACCCGCGGCACCCGAATGAGGACGATCCAGTAGAGGTCCCATCGCACTTGATTGATGATGCTCTCTACCACCGTAGATCCGCACTACGGGCCAAGTGACTAAAAGGACCGTGGAATGTTTCGCTGTCCTTTCATGTTGGGCAGACACCTACCCACATGCCTCAAGTATGGTCTAAGGGACCGCGTTCCTTACGATTTGACATCGTGCGACAAGTGCGCGCGATGCAGCCTCGTGAGTCACCGGCATACTGGATATCCGGATTGCAGAACTAGGGACAGTCCACAAGCAAGGTATGAACAACATATTCGACTTCCATTGCCTGTTGGGCGTGCAATTTTAATTGACGTAGGATTTCAGCGGAGAAGAGCATAGCGATATACCGTCCTGCATACGCTCCGAGACAAGCAAGTTTGTTGTTACCGCCCTTATGGAGGCATATGATTATGGTACCCGACCGGGAACCATTGAAATGGTAGAACCGACAGGCAGTTTCCCGGCCTGTACTATTGGTGCAAGGCCATTACCAACATCATAAGTCACAGGGAGGACAGACCACGATTGGGAAGCGTTAAAGGGACGTAGGGATTTCAACAAGACAGCGGTGGTGTGATCATGTAGACAGTGAGAGTATGGCGCGCTCCACGATCTATTGCCACATAAAGGCTTAGCTCCACTGGCGTGCTAACCCAACATGCTGCGATCATGTACTTCATCCAGGATCCCGCTATTCAACAAGATAGCTGTGAGTATGATACATCCTTGTTTTCAATAGGCAGACATCGAAATAGAGACCTCTCGAGTGGAGAAGGACGGTCTCGACATACCTATGGCTAGAGTTTGCATGATCATGATATGACATGGACAGCCATTGTAGCATTGATATACCGCTATCTGATTTCTCTGATTTCTGTCTTTTTCTCTCTGTAACAATCGACATGTCTTCAAATAAATATGATGCGTTTCCCTGGGAATGCAATGCCCACACTGAATGATTTCACACACGGACAGCAAAGTCACACCATGGGCAATGGCAGGGTGACATCAATGTTTAGGACCTACTTAGCTAACCCAAAATTGCGGGCGAGAAGATGGCCAATTGCGAGCAGCGGTGAACTCAAACGAAGGGTGGGTGGGTGATATTTTAGCATGGTGACATGGAGTTCGAGCAGGAGTGAGCGCACCCGATTGAAATCATGTCAGCAGCCAAACCAGCACCATCAAACTTCCCGACGCTTCTTAATCCTTTCCACAATTCTCAATTTTCTGCCATGCGGTGCGTCTTCATGCGGTAAGCGCAGGAGCGACAGCCGAATAGACAAGGCAGGAATTCCAAATGAAATGAGAGCGGGCGGATGAGCAACCCCACATGCAGATACTGAAGTAGAGAGGTATTGGACAAGCTAGAACGCCTTCTGTGGATAGTGAACAGACAGCGACGTGTAGCCTCAGATCCAAGAGGCTCCGGGTGATGGTATCTGTATGAAAGAGACACATAGCCTATGATATGTGTAGTCAATCCAATCCGAAGTACATACTAGATCAGAACGCAATCAAACCGAATGCGTACTGAGCTCCCATTTTTGCCAGGGTGGCCATTTGTACTAAAAGACAAACCACTGAATTATGAAGGGATGACATAATGAAGCTAGTAGACGGATACGTTGTTGTTGAGCATGCCAGAAAGCACAATGAGGAATGGCATACGCTTTCTGTCGATCCTCTTAGAGCTTGATAGTTAAGGCAATATTAAACATACGAAAGCACATTGAGGGGCCATATGGAGAACTGGGTACGAGATGACTCTCGAGAAGCTCGCGACGTGCGTTTGGACTGTGAAGTTAATTTCGGAGTATGAAAATGGCATTAACGTTAATCAACGTTTGAGGAGAATGTGGAACGAAGAATAGCCGTCCTTACTTACAGGCACTGCACATAATTCATGTTTCATATGTCAGGATATCAGTGACTTGGATGGTCTTGCTGTTCTCCCCCCTCTCCATCTCCCTCCAGTTTCCGTTGTCCGCTCTCCGATGGACACTGTTGCTCAGCTAACACATGATCAATTGCCAAATGCAGCTTCTCATTCGCACTCCACGCTAGCCACGGTCACATCGCCGCTGCGCAGACAAGTCCATCCAGAGCAATATCACATCTACGGCCACAAGCGCAGTATAGTCGTGGTCGCCCTTGCTCTGGTCCTGTTTGTTTCTGCGCTCGATTCTACCATCGGTATGGTTTCAGCGTCAAGTGTGTCTGTGGCTCTGATGCATGCATGAATTATTATCGCAGTTTCTGTAGCACTACCTGTCATTGGAGCTGACTTTGACGACTACTCACAGGCAAGCTGGGTCGTCACCGCTTATTTGATAACGTACACAGGTGTGCTCAACAAGTGGGAAATGTGTGCCACCAGGACTCACTGCATGCAGCGTTCCTTCCCATTGTCTCGAAATGCACGGACATCTTTGGGCGGAGACCCATCCTGGTATTCTCCACGCTATTCTTCATGGTCTGTTCTCCTTGCTTCGCCAGCAAATGTCCTCACCGTTCAGTGTCTATCCGTTTGGGGTAGCTTTGGTCTGGGGCTTGTGGTGGCGCCAAGACCATGAAGCAACTCATCGTATTTCGCGCTCTGCAGGGAATTGGTGGTTCGGCGATCTATTCTGCTGTTATCGTTACGATCAGTACTATTGTGCCTAGAGTGTGTCATATCCTTGATTCAATGTGTGGCGTGTACAATTTCTGATACTAGCGCGTTCTTCTAGACAGAAATTGCCAAATATATCCCAGTGATCGGTACAGTATTTGCCATGAGTAGCGTCGCAGGCCCACTCATTGGAGGTGCAATTGTTTCCCATATCCACTGGGGTTCGTCTTCCCAATTGATCTATTCTGTCCTGCTCCTGAGTACGGGTTCCCGCGCTAGGCTGGATATTCTTCGTGAATTTGCCCATAGGCGCCATTGGCACTTGCCTTCTCCTTTATGGGCTGAAGGACCCACAACAAGAACCGCTCAGCTGGAATATAATTGCCCGTCGTGTAGACTGGATCGGTAACTTTCTTCTCCTCGCCAGCAGCGCCCTAATTTCTTTTGCAGTGAGTTCGTTGGCGCATGTCCTGCTTACCTCGGCCCTCTCAATTGATATGTTTTAGCTCCAAGTCGGGGGTTTATCCTATCCGTGGATTTCGGCCAAAGTTCTTGCTCCGATTATCATATCTGTATGCCTGTTACCACCTCTCGTATACTTCGAGACTCGACATCCAGAACCCGTCATCCCGCTCAGTCTGTTCAAGGACCGGAACTACTCTCTAATAGTCATTTTCACGCTCTGTCTCGGAGCTGGCTGTTACACAACTACGATATTCCTTCCACAACGAATGCAAGTGGTCGATCTCGCCTCGCCGATCACTGCGGGCGTACGGATGCTCCCGCAGCTCCTGCTCACAGGGCTCATGTCCATCGTGGCCAGTGCAATCGTCATGAAGACACATCGCTTCCGTGGGATTATGTGGGCTAGCGCATCCCTTGCACCCGTTGTATGCGGCCTTTTCTCCATCCTCACCGTGCACACGTCCTTCTCTCAGCAGTACGGTTTCGAGGCGCTCGCAGGTATCGCGTTCGGGACGACATTGCCCGTGTCGACGATCATCGTACAATTTAGCATTGAGCGCTCAGAGATCGCCTCTGCCACAGGTTTCCAGTCGTTCACATGGCAGCTTGGCGCGCTGATCGGCATCGCTGCCGACACTGCCATCCTGAATGGTGTTGTCATGAGCCGTCTCAACCTCCTCGCGGACAATAACGGCCCACTCGCGGACCCTGCCCTACGCGGGGCTATCTTGCAAAATCCAGCCGGAATGTTGAGCAAACTCGATTCCGTGTCGCGGGCTTATGTACAGGACGCGTATAGCAGTGGGTTCTCAAAGGTTTTCATTTTTGCTGCCGGATGTCTCGCGGCTGGAGCATTGGCGACCTTTGGGCTATTGCACGTATTTCCTTCCGACCTCATAGCCGATACGGAAGACGCGCGGAAACCAAATGGTCAACCAAATGGGAGGTGGTCAGACGATGTTGACACAGGAAGCAGCGTGATGTTGATAGGCGCACTCACGGATGACACGGACTAAACGGACAAGCAAGTTCAATCGGATTCCCAAGCAACTGATGACAGTAATGGCATGTACATCAATATCTCTGTGGTGAAAAGTGCAGATGGGCCTCCGCACGATCAGGATTCACGAGGTGATATCATGCCCGTTGATCCTGTGCAAGGACTGCCTGAATCAAGCTGCCATCTTTCAACGACGTTCAATTTTAGCATAAATAATATATCAATGGACATATATCACATTCTATCGACGAAAGAATGTCAATATGCAAGTATTTGATGTGGATGTTCCGAAAAATAGGTACGGATAGCAAAGCTAGGGATAGTTTTCAAGCAACACATGGATAACATATAATTTGCATTGCCTGCTAGACGTATAATGATGCGCCTTTTGCATCATGTACATCAATAGCTTGGAACTGCCGCTAGATCTTTCTGTTGGAAAGTAAAGAACTGGTGAGTCCACCAGTCTGAACAATCTGACCAGACGGCAGACTGTCTAGTGGAGATTCCGTGGCAATGCTTCCAAGGTATATTAAGCTCGAGAGAATGCGAAAGTGGTGGCGTCGTGGCGGACTCAGAGGTGAGAGGCCCAAGATTACCAGTGTAAGAGAAAGCCAAAAGTGCACTCATTGTTATATCATAATAACGTTACGGTCGACTTGAAAAAGAGGTAAGAGCTCATCGAATCATAGTATGCTTAGGAGTAGATCGAGCTGCGCGGTAGGATGTCTCAATATCATAACATTATGCATGTACTGTCGGCGCAGTGCAATGCTCTAGCCTCGGTGAAAATGACCAATACTCAACTCGATCCTTATCGTTTCAGCCATGGCTCTTACGATTGCGGGAGAGTGTGCGCGATTTAACTGGGCACATATTCTCACTCTATTCACGCTCTCATCGCTGCAGTGCGACAATTCAATCATTCTGAAGCAAGACTGAAGCCGACGAGCTAAATACGTTGTACTCTACTGGTGTTGATTTGAGTTGGATTTGGCCACCGTGGACTCTGATTCGTACTGCGATTCTCGCGCTGATCATGATGATAACTCCCCGCGCTGAGGTACCTTGCTGTTGGGCAGACTCATTGTTCTGTGCACTGATGCACTTGTTACAAATTCCAATGTTGCTATGTGGGCCTCTCCCGGTGACTACTAGTGACATAATTTAGCATTCACCAATCCCAAGGTTGTGGTTCAAGCTGGAAGTCGTATTTTGCCGAGTTACATCGGATCAAGCTGATCTATCACCGACCCGGAGTCGCTCGAGGCTCGAGGCCACAGCTTGTCCTAGGCTCACTCGCTAGACGACATACCTGCATCACATTCCTCTCCCATCCATCACAGATCTAACCGGGAACGATGAATCATACAGCGTGGACACAGAATGCATCTTCCCTACCCTCTGACCGAATTCCGCCGTCTAGGCCGAAACAAAACTCTGTAAAGGAAAAGAGAAAGCCGGCAGCGCAAGAGCCCTTGAAGAGCAAGGAAGTCCGCCGATTGGAGTTTGTGCGGGATAGTTTGAGGAAAGGGACAGGGCGGGAGAGAGACCCCAAGGGCGGCTGCTTCTGCCAGGGTGCGTCGCAATAGTTGATTTTTCAGAGTACAAGCATAATGACTGGTGTTCCCATGTGTTATTTCCAGCTAGAGTTCACACTTTGTCGTCCTATACGCCCCTGTGTCACAACTGCGGCCTTGTTCTCTGCAAGTTGCAGCTCCCGCACCATGCCTGCCCGCACTGCGCATCCCCACTCCTCACGCCCACCGCACGCGACGCTTTGGTCGGCAGATTGGAAAAACAGATTATCGAAACAGTTGCGGAGGAGAAAGCTGCTCGCGACCGTGCCATCCAGGACGCCCGTGCTGCTGCTGGGGCGTTTCCTTCCCTGTCCGCCACCACCAGCGTTTCCAGCACAGACGCACTGGCGGCACATCCTACGAACCAGCCACACAAAGTTTTGTCACTCAATGCGAAAACAAAGAAGGTGATTGTGCGGTCGTCCTACACTACGCCAGCCATCTCGCGCTCGTCCTCGCGCGACAGCGGGATCAAGGAGGGCGAGGAGGAACAGAAGCGCATACTCCCTCCACCGGATGAAGTTGTATATGCGAGGAACGACCCGAATAGGGATCGGCCGTGGGCAAACCTTCGGGGAGGCAGCTTTACATACGTCCCTCCGCCTCATGCAAGGGCAGGTAGTGCGCCTAGTAGCTCAGACAAGAAGCTACACGGAGACGGGAGCACTGTACAGATGGCGAAGAAAGAAGGAAAAAGAAAAGATCAGGAAAATAAACTTCATCGTTCATCGTGACATTCGCGCCTGATTTGATTCACAATGTCCACGGTGAACGATCATCAATCCTAAGACTGAGGCTTATTCCGGCCGATGAATATCACGCCAAACTTGGTTTGTCGATTTTCTGCGATCTGGTTCGCATTGTTACATGATTCTTGCGAGAATGCTTTGCGTGGCAAGTGACACATCAGTGGGCGTAATGGATGTATTGTGTGACACTGTCTGTCGGGTGTGTCCATCCGAATTGCTTTCCAATATTCCATAGGTGACATACTCATGGAAACAAATTCTGAGACGTAGGCTTCGCGCTATTCTGTGAATATTATAATGCGGCTCTGTTACAGTGTGCGGCAGGTCCGCCCGATCACCTACCGCCAGAATTGAATATGTATGGATGCTCGATCGCCTAGCTGATTTGCCTCAGCATGGTGACTTGTTTGGATTACACTTTGAAACAAATATTCTATATGGAGATGTGGTACAGAACTATTCAAAATCAAAGATTCTCCAAATCCTTCCCGCCTACTGATGATACCTGTGATGTGGCGAATACGGGATTTGTTACACGCAACAAGGCGATCTTCCATGCTACTGTTCGGTTCAGTAAATGAATTTTTGAGATCTACGACCGTGTCACTTCGAGCTCCTTCCACTCTGCATCATAGACCAGTCGGTCCAATTTGATCAGAGTTCCGCTACTCGCCATGACATAGGCGGAGTATCGGAATGACCTGTGTAGTTTGACAGAGGCAAAATTGTCAGTAGACCGAACACGCGAAAAGGGCATATAGCCACACTACCCACATCGTAAGCCAATGCTCCGCTTGCGCGCCTTCTCACAGATCTGAAGCAACAAGTAGCCAGCTAGGGGTGACCTTATTGTCCAAGCTTCATGAAGTGCAAACGGGATATAGAACGAGTGGTGCGAGAGTGTCGATGACAAGCCCAGGCATTCGGAATAGAATCTAGCCACTGTGCTCAGAGGAAGATGACGTCACGGCAGCAAGACAAGACAGCGCTTGTGAATCACGGGGATGGAGAGATCAGAGAAAGAGAAGAGAACCTCTATGGGAGAATGAGTGTATAGGGCCCTTCTATAGAGTGTGCATCGCGCGTATAGCAGTGACGATTGGACCAGGAAGCCATCGGGGTGATTGGCGTAAGGTTAGTCAAGACAGCTTTGGGTTATGTCGTTGACAAAATAGATAGTGTATCTCGCCTGTAACAGCAGGTTGAATTCAGGGATTGAACGGTTAGCGAGGATGTCGGGACGAGCGAGAGCTCAGGACACAGAAGTAGTACTTTTTATATGCAAAAGAGAGGCCAAAGCGTTGATAGGGCCCTGGAGCGAGGTCAGAGTACCTGTGGATATGCAACGCCACACCACAGGCGTACTGTCCACGGTAATCGTCATTAGCATGTATGGAGTGCTCATCTGGGTACTTAACGGGGAATGGGTCGTGCACATTGCACATCAAATTTTGAAACCATCAACAACATCCTCAGATTCTTACGACTGCCTTGAATCCTTCGTAGAATTTCGAGATAAATACCCTTGCTATCCATTGGTTTCATCCTCTCGCCAACTCCGCGACGCAGGCTCATTATCAATGGTATATGGCAAGAGACAGTCGTACGCTGAGCAGGATACGAACGAATGGACATTTGGGAAAAGCTGACGGCAACGAGGACCTTGAACAAGATGAGCGCTGGGCTGATCATAGAAATCCCCGGGATATATATAATATCACAACCTCGTCAACGTGAAAAACTGGGTGTTAACAATCAGGACGCCTTAGCTTCAGTGGTGGGCAGCTATTCTTGTTATGATAGTCAAAAGCGGCGATAACCTCTATATTGCGTACTTTCCTGTGGTACGACGAAGGGGATGCTATTGTTCAAACAATCCACTGCTTTCGAAATTTTGCACTTACAACTGAGCAAAAACCCCGCCCGACTTAGGATTGGAGCAACACGGTGGACACTTGACGTAGCCGAGTCCCCCGCATAATTTCATAGGTACACCAGATCAAATAGATGCTATGCGTGACCGCGACATCCGTAGACGATCCATATATGAGACACTTGAGAATCTGTGTATGAGCGAGTGTTTTGTCAGATTTTCGCACTGGCGATTGCTGGGCTATCAGTCTAACACAGTCATGAGTCCACTCTCGCTTTTGCAACACTAGGAGGATAGAGGAGGAGGAGGATATAAGATAGACCCTGCGTGACGCTGTCGCATAAGAATTTGGATGGTGCGCCGCTGTACCGTGGGCGCCTTCCAGCGGCGTAGCAAGCGCTAGCTCTAGCGCTTGTTGTATCCTCGTCTGCCGCGGCCGCCTTCGACTATCTAGGAGCTTCAAGCTTCAAAGTGCGCCGCGCGCATATTACTACTCGCGAGTTTACCGCACATCACCACTGGGCACCATGTCTCACGCTTCAGGCTGAACACTCTTCTCTCTTTCAAAGTTAGCAAATCACAGTCTGACGAAATTATCGATATCTGAAATAAATTACTTGACGTTCCGTAGCGTCCATGTCTAACCAGCATATGTCTGTGTCATATCATCGTAAGGCCAGCGAGTAAGTTGTCCTCGCACACACATACCGACTTTCTACTTTCATACTCGGGGTGTGCCTGGACAGAAATCAGCTCTAGCCCCACGATCCTGAGAGCTCAGACGCCAGATTCGAACCGACCTCATGGTATTAAATCATATGGAAGGATGCACAGCTCGCAGCATGTTGCCTTATGCATCACAACCAGCGCACAAGCTGCATCCTTGTGCTTCTTCGCCATTTCTCTCGCCGGTGCTCTCTTCCCCGCTAAGGTCGCCATCTGCACCGCCTCCTTCATACGTCATGTCAATAAGCTGGACCACGATCGCACAGAGCTCTTCGAGCTCCGCGTTCTTCCCCTCTAGGTCTTGTCGTGCGAGAAGAAGATCCCGCTCGACTGCTTCCAGCCGCCGACTCGTGTGCAACTCTTTGTATGCATCGGGCTCGAAAGGAGACTGAGAGTGAGGCCACCACGGCGGGGGAGAAGATGATGGAGGTGATGGTACTACACATGATAGCAGCCACGACGGCGCCTCGGAAACGGTAGGACTGCGCGGTGACTCGGGCAGGGGGACCATCGGCGGGTCTATATTGGCATCTCCGTGAGCCTCTTGCGAATCGGCCCGCACTGAAAGAATGGTTGGCTGTAACGGAGTAGAGAGCTCCATAGAGCGCTCAACGTCGTCTTCATCATTTAGAATATCCACTGGTGCGCCTTGGCGGATTACCTGCTCGTTGAGATGGGAAGAGCTAGCATCTGACGGGGGCCGTGCTCTAAGTACGTGGGTCCCTGTTTCAGCAACAGAGGCATTGCATTCGTTGTTGGCGCCGCTCTGAACTAGCTCCTGCCGTAGCGCTGTGGTTTCGCGCTGAAACTGATGCTCCTGGTCTTTCCCGTCCACCAGCTTACGGTTCAATCTGGTAACCTCTTCCTTCAATCTGGAGGCGTATATGCAATCAATTACTCTAGAGGAATCATCTTGAAACAAACGGAGTGGGCTCTTACCGCTCACATTCGTCTTGGCACTGGATTCCTGGCGATGGATCCCGCCGCTGGTCAAGTGAAAATTTCATCAGATCGACAGGGAGCAGAGGAGAACCCTATTGCTAATCGCTCACATACCTGGCGCTGAGCCTCTATCGCTGAGCGCATGGCGAGACGCTCTGAGCTAAAAGCGTCGATTCTAGAACCAAGTAATCTGATTTCTTTGATCAGGTCTTCCAGCGCTGGCGGTTCGTTCATGTGTTCGGACTGTGATGGAATCGGTGAAGGTGATGCAGTTTCTCGGATGGGCGTCTCAAGAGGAGGCATTACATAGGGAGATGGCGAAGGCTGAAGTCGTCGAGGTGTTAAATTTGGACTGGGCGGTGGCGAAACTGCGGTCTACGTAGATGACACGGATGGGAGAGAAGGTTCAGCTATGGTGTCACGATTCTCATGCGAAGTGACTGAACGAACACTGCGGGGGACCAGTAGTGCTTCCGTGGGCAATTTGTCGACGGTGTCCGACCGTGACCGAGTCTTTTCTAGCTGTGATTACTGAGGTCAGGTTTTACTTTGATGCGCGACATGGGTGAATGACACGGTAAATGAAAAGAAAACATGCAATGGAACATAAAGTAGCGGCGACACAGATAGGGAATTAATAACAAAAAATAGAGATGATGGATACACACGCGTTCAAAGAGTTCTTTAACTTCCGTCTCCAAGACCTTATTCCTCGAGGCGGAAAGACCTAAGATTTTGATGGCATCCTCTTGGGAGAATATGGCTGCCCGCGGCGGCGCTGAAGAAATCAAGTGGCCAGAAATCCATTTGTCCGTTGAGCAAATCTCGGGATTGTTGATTTCTCCATACTGCGGTGGATGCGAGTCGGAATTGACATGAAGAATGCTCTCTTCTAATTCCGCTTCCCTTCGTGCAAGTCGGGCACTGAGCGAGAGAATTTCGGCGTTGGCCCATTCGTGCGTTTGCTCGTGCGCACGCCGTTCGGCTTCCAGCTCAGATCTTAGAGAAGAGATAACCGCTTGGGCGTGCGTAAAGAGGATATCATTGCTGTGGCCGGCCACTATGCCCGCAGAAGTCGTGGATATCGGTTCTGTCGACAACGTTGAATATCAGAAATATGTTTTAAAAAAATTGTAAGCCGAGTAGACGGACCAAGAGGGCAGGACAAGACAATCTGACTGTGAGGCCACAGCGCATAGTCATTCACGAGGTGGACTACACGAGACAGGGGTAATACACGAATGAGTGTTATACGCGTAACGACTGCGGCTCGTAACGCCCACTCGTAGATAGTCGTGGTCAGTCCAAAACCCACCTTTCTCCATCACTACCGTCAGCGCTGCTCGTGTATCATCCCACTCCGCACGAGCTTCCTTCACATACTTTTTTACGCGATCCAGTTTATGCGTGAGGCATTCGTTGACGCGTTTTTCTGCGTCCAACTCTTTTCTGTGCGATCTACGAAGGGCGTCCATCGAATCGAGGGTCGACAACAGGCGAAGTTGCACCTGAGAGGCACGTGCTAGAAGGACTTGTTGCTGTTCCTCCAGTGCCGCAATCTGTTCCCGGTCGTTCAGACATGCATTCAAATCGTACGCGAAACACTAACCCGGGCGTCCCTCTCCGTCACCGCTTCCGAGAGGTCGTGGTATTGCTTCAGGTTGATTCCCATAAATAACGACAAGTTCGAAGCAAGTTGATAACAGTATTCCAAGATCAAGCGAGAATCCAAGGTGTCCAATGATATACAGATACAGAAAAATCAAGAGAGTATATAGCACATATAGCAATGAGATACTGCAATAGGATGAGCCAAACGGCAGCGGTAGCAGCAGCAGCAAACTCCGAGTCGAGAGCACTGGCGCCACCGGGCGTGGAGCGGTTATGCGCCCACAAACACTAATAGGAGCAAATACATTTTGTTCCCCGCGTTGGGTTTGTATGCCGAGCGGCATTGACATTGAACGACGAACGTTCATGAGATTATACGAAGCACGTCGGGTATCTACCCTGGGGAGAGAGGCAGCTTGTTTATATAAATCACTTAAAAGAGTCACCACTCTAATTGCGGCGGATTTTGTGCAATCATTGAATGGAAATTCAAGTTTATGGTAAGGCGATCGGTCGAGAATATAATTACGGTACATGTCGCGCCGAACAACAGCAACATAAGCAGCCGTGACTTGCGACAGCAATAGAATATACAAAATGGTGGGCCACTGATAGAAGGGTACCACCAAGACCAGTCCGTGACGGGAACAATGTTCCCAAGGACTGACACAAACCATCTGTGTTCGGGTCAAGGGTTCAGTTCGATGGTCAACTTTTGCATGTACTCCAAATCCACTGATGTCCCAGGCCCGTCCGCCTGATTCCACTGGCGCAGCCCCACGACCGCCCACTTCCACTTCTACTCGGAACCATGGCGGTCAAGAGACGGAAAATTCCATGAGGACGGCATGCGCACCAAGTATCGGACGAGTTCCTTATCGTCTGGCAACACGGATTTCCACTCATTGGCACCTGCACAGAAGATGCGATACGAGTCGAGGGCATACGGACCGCTCCCTGGCAGGTGGGATATCGGCGTGGGCGGATAACGCCGCCGTATTGATGATGGCACGTCGTTGTCTCCAGACTGCACCCGCGGATTCATGTAACATTTACTAGGCCGCAGATAACCGGGATCCGGCGGGTCAGCTACGTATTCCTGGGAGAGCTTGATTAAACGCGTTGTACGAGACTTCCAGAGGCCAAGGTGTCTTATGAGGCCTTCTAGAACCCGGGGAACGGCTATATATAAGCGAATATGTAACTATGAGACAATGAAAGAACGGCAGCGAAGACTTGTACGAAACCTTGAGCCATATCAAGAGCGGTCGGCCATTCCCTAACGACATCGAAGAATACGGGGACGGCATGTCTTCCGGCCGTCTTGTTCAAGAGGGTGACTGCGACCAGAACCTTCCAGGGGTCATTGGCCACATGCTCTAGCAGGACGGTGACAGCGTCACGGACTGGAAGCTCTGGACGGCTATTTTCGCACCTTGTATTAGAATAGGTTTTGATAGGTATAGGTGCTGGTAAGAGTGCATGAATGCGTCATGAAAATTTCTGAAGGCGGTTTTCTTCAGATTTTGACGAGATTCCTCGGCTGTTCTCCGGTCACTGCGCGGAACACCATACAGTTTGCTATCGAACTCAATCAAGTCAGTACGACAGGTGGTCTTCCTTTGTTGCCTTCGTTGAAATGTATTCTGGGGAGAAGGTGGAAAGTAACATGATGCTACAACATCCGATGCCGATTCGGACTCGGAGGTGTCTTTAGTACGAGTTGTACTGCTCTCGCGAGGGCATTTAGGAGGACTAGTTCTGAAGTAGGGTGAGTAGACAACCGGCTCAGAGGTCGAGCTTGCTCTGCGAGAGAAGCGACTTGGCATGATCAATGTGCCAGTGATGCGAGCTTTCCTGGAGACGCCCAGCCGTCGCCCATACAAGATAAGCGCCAGCTCGATTCGCCAGGTTCGTTCAAGGTTTCGGCCTCTTTGACCGGCACAGGGTTTGAATGATGATGGTGGCACAATGCTGGATCACAATTTTGCAGCCCAATATCATTTATTTGAGCGCTGATATACAGGGGTATCTAGGTCGTCGTGATGGCGCCATCGTCACCGTGGACATTAGGTTCTGTTTGTGCATAACAATGCCGCAATGGCGATGCACACCGCCATAAAGTCACGGTACATACAATTAAGGACAGCTGCCAACTACAGAGAGATATCTCCGATATCTTGCCTGTGCTGCAGCACAGGCCGAAGAAGTTAGTAAATGAGGGTGCCGTCAGTGATTGCGGACCGCCCGAGGGACCCTCGAATACGCTGAGTGGACGAACCGGAACCTTCCCATGCCATGACTCAGATTTGGATGCCGCGGTGTCAACTGCGCTGCGCTGTCCGACAGGCCTGGCCACTTCAAGAAAAGGAGTTGGGTTCTGGAATACGCACATTACGGATCACGCTCATCACGCGCTGTTGATGCTGACGACCGTGGCAGCGCGAAGCCGGGAAGGAAATGTGAAGGACATACGTGGCGAGAAATCCGTACTGCCTCCGTACACAGTGGTCGTCTGCAGCGAAAGAGGGACCACTCTGCTCAGGAAGAACTATGGTATCTAGAGCGGGGGATTCGAGCGGAGGATTCCGGAAATTGGCATTCGGTCCACATCTAGACACTGGCCACTTGCCGTTGAATTGGTACCGAGCGCGGACGCGCAACCGCATGGATGGAATGAACAGCCCGCTTGGATATGTTATGGTCTGTGGATTACTTATCCAAGTCTTCTCGCCGCCGGCGTGGCAAGTGGAGCATGACGATATCGCTGCGGCAGAGCCCGTTACAACGCCGTAATGCTGTTACAAAGAAGAAGCTTACCGGACCTGTGTGAATTAAGGGCGCAAATGGAGTCGAAAAGGGGGGAATACGCAGAATAAGTAGCAGATGTATAAATAATAAAACCACAGCGTGTCCTCTCGCATTGAAGGAGGGGGGGGGTTGGAAAAATGGAGAGAGCCGACATTTTATTTACTACGACGGTCTTAGTCGGTTCATTGGCTGGCAAAATGACCGCTCCATAAGGCGCAGGTGGCACCCTCGAGCCCGTCCGCAGTAAGAAGGCAGCACACGCACCATTAAGACTATCGCACAAACACAATTACGGCCTTTACCCTGGCTACATTGCGGCTTGAGCTCAGTTGAGCATGATGCTAGATGGTTTTGTCCGACGGTGCAAAGCTCCAAATATCACAGCATATGAGATAGAATACTCTGCCAGATATGATGAAGGAGATCTAGAGACTCCAGTAACCCTCCATCTGCTATCAGAGATCGAAGGCAACGAAGAACTCTAGCCTGATGATGTTCTAAAATTCAATGCTACAAAGAAGCCGAGGCCAGAAGTGTGGGCGTACCTGATACCTGGCCGAAGAGATGGTATTGAATGTGGAGTCAGCAATGGGAATCGTGTCTCAATTCCTGGTTCTGGAACGTCACGGTGGTCGCCAATTGCGCGACGGTGGTAACCTAGGGCATTCATGAGAATCGACATGAGGTCACTCGTGCGATGCTATAGCTGATACCGTCATTCATTGATGCCTCGACTCCCGTGGTACAAAGTGCGCCCGCAGAGGCACTGTATGATGAAGACTACAACAAGGGGCACATGATGGGTGGGAAGAGGCATGAGGCCAGCTCTGAGCGGTTGGCGTGAGTCAAGCGATTCGGGTAGATCAAAAGCACGCAGGACTTGTAGTTGGGTGCGGCTATACTAGCGCACGGCAGTTCGTGGTAGGCGACAAGTGCAGCGCAGTCTCACTACCGCGTCGTCCGAACAGCGAGTCGAGATGGAAGATAGACGGACAATGCGGGATGGGGGTGGGAGAGGATGTGCATCACGCGATCCGGGTTCGATCTATTGAGCATTGTGGCGCAAGGGAGAAAATGGCCGAATAAGCGAGATGGCTATGCGGATGCGAGATAGCATCTGAGAAGGAATGTCGGATGGATCACTGTTAAGCAGATTAATTGGGCATATCAGCCAAGGCGGTGGCGTTCACGTACGGGGCTGCGGGGCGAATAGGAATGAGATGATGCGCAAGCGGTTAATGAGATGATGAGATGAAGGCGAAAGATGACAACTGTTGGTGGCATCTTGGAAATTGTGTGCGCGGGAGGAACATGGGCAGTGAGCAGGAGCCGCTGGTAACGTAACGAGGGGGAAGCTGATAGCGGGGAGGATTCGATGGGCTTGACATGAGGTGTCCTGTGGCAGCGTGTCAGTGGTAGACAGGCGCTACAAGGTGGTCTGGGTAGGAATCAGGCGGACCCGGAGGGAGGGGAGCTGGGAGCTGGGAGCTGGCGGGCGCGTTGGGTGGAGTGGAGCATGCACGACGAAGAGACACGGTGGCGGGGGCGGAACGGGAGCCGGGGAAGGAGGAGAGGCTGCGAATGGAGGCGATATGGATCAGTCATTCACGGTGCAAATGGCCTGTGATCCATCTGATGAGGCGAGTAGGAGCGACGTGAGAACAGAACGGCGGACCTCATCGATCAAACAAAGAGAGGCCGAGAGGAGGAGGGCCAGTGATTTCAATTATCGGAGGCCAGCAGAGTTTGAAGTCTGCTGATGATGCCGAGCGCGTGCGAGCTCTCTCTCTCTCTCTCTCTCT